GTCAATATATGTCAAATTCTTAGCCAAGTGACAGTTATATGGCAAATGTCCCATGAATTATCTCTGGGTTTATGCATACTTTTTGAGTTGCCTACATCGTTTAAATTAATGCATCCATATGCACTGCTATCCCCATGCCTCTGTCTCTTTCATGTGACCTATTCCACTCCCAGCTTGTTCCCTTATACTTCTGCATTGTTTTAATCTCTAACTTCATCTCTATCTTTTTGCTCTATATTTCATTATATCTATTTTTATCATTTTTGTAGATATGTATAAACTTGCTCTCTTTCAATACCTTTATATCAATATTATCAATCACTGCATTGCTATCACCTATTCCTGGGTTTATATATTTAGATGCCTAGCCATGTGTATTTCTTTTTTAAAAAGTTTATTTATTTTGAGAGAGAGAGAGCATATGAGTGGGTGGGTGGGTGGCTGGTGGGGCCAGAGAGAGAGAGAGGGAGACAGAATCCCTCCCAAGCAGGCTCCATGGTGTCAGCTCGATCCCACAACTGTGAGATCATGACCTGAGCCAAAATTAAGAGTCAGATGCTTAACTGACTCAGCCGCTCAGGCGCCCATTTATATTTCTAAATATCCTCATCTATCTATAAATATTGCTGAAAAATAACACTTCATCTTTTGGTCATTTGCAAGGCTTACCCTCAGGGACCTCCTCCAATACCCACCTCTCTCCGTAAAGAGCAAGAGGCAGGAAGTAACAAGGGGCTCGGAACTCTTTGGTTTCTGGATTGGACAATGTCAACTTGTTCTCTAGTGTGTGTGTGTGTGTGTGTGTGTGTGTGTGTGTGTGTGTGTGTGTGTTTTAATGTTTATTTATTTATGAGAGAGAGAGACAGACAGACAGACAGAGCAGAGAGGGGCAGAGACAGAAGGAGACAGAGAATCCCAAGCAGGCTCCTTGCTGTCAGCACAGAGCCCAACTCTGGGCTTGATTTCATGGACTGTGAGATCATGACCTGAGCCTAAATCAAGAGTCGGATGTTCAACCGACTGAGCCACTCAGGCTCTCCACTCCAGTGGTTTAAGATGTGTGAACCAAGCTCAATTTCATGCCATTCTGCCACTTATCTCTCCATCCATTATCAGACTGATATTAATCCAGGAATCTAGTGATACAAAGATGAAAAAGAGATTCTTCATTCAGGATGTGCCCATCCTGTCAAGAGATGAGTGAAGGAGACACTGGGATTCAAAAATTCACATACTGGTGGAGCCAGCTTGTCTGTTTTCAGTTTTCCTTCTTCACTGATTTCCTGAATACCTTCTAGGCCAATAACAAGCCCAGAGCTATACAAGTTCAGAGCACCTTGGCCAAATGTGTGATCAGATAACTACTTTCTCTGTTATAGTGGAAAGAATCCAGTCTGTGATGAGAGCTACTTGGAGTCTTGTCTCACCAAGGCAGCCATTACCTTTAGTTCCCAGACAGGTTCACCTTTCTGGGCTTGAGTCCTCATCTGTAGAATGATAGGGGGTGAGACTAGAAAATTCCTGGGGGCCCTTATTACCTTGACCTTCTGAAAGTCTATGATCCTACTCAAGTTTGGAGTGGAATCTGGACACCCCCTTTGAAATGAGTGATGGAACCCAGAACTCAGACTATGAAGTCAGGTGGACTTGGGCAGAGACTTCTCCATGAGACAAATTTCACAGACATGACTGGTATGTGCACTGTAGGTCACAAAACATTTTTGTACCCATTATCTGATTTTATTTTCATGAGAATCTGGTGAAATACTTTCACTCCCATTTTCATATGAGAAAACTAAAGCCCAGAGAGCAAAATGGGTAACTGAGTACTAAGTACTTTTGATCAGCCCTCTCATTTAATTCACATGATAATTGTATGTCTTTTCTAAGTCTTTTCATCTTCTTTATCTTATTTCTTCTTTCTCCTCTTCTCCATCTTCCTCTTCCTTCTTATTTTTCTTATTTCCATTTTATATAGAATCTGAGGTTCATGGATGTTAAGTAGCTTCCACCCATTAGCGAGGACTAGAGCTCAGATTCAACCCCAAGTCTGTGTAAATCTAAAGTCTGTGCTCACAAGTTTGGTAAGAATCTTAAATGCCCATAGAGGCTGGAGGGTTATGTAAACAAGTGAAATGACCCAGGCAGAAGGGTTATTTCACTTTCTTTTAATCTCATCAAAGAAAAACAAAAGCACACATAAAAAATAAAAAGAAACTTACACTTTGCATTGTGTCATGGATACAGTATAGAATGATGGAGAATTGTAGAACATGTAAGTAGATGTATAACATAAAAGTATATGCCCTATCTAAGAGGGGCAGTTTTTAATCACTGGGTTGATGGAAGTTAGGCTCACCTATGCCAGGTCTTTTGATTTTAGAAGGAAAGCTGGATGTCTAGAATCTTAAGTATAATTCCTCTCTTTCTAAATATTAATGATTAGTTACTAAATTATATGGGCAAAAAATTATGTAGGCAAAAGATAAAATGATATCCCATCTTGACTATATCTGGCTCACAGGATGCTAGATTAGTATTTCTGTCCTGCACTATGTGGTCTTCAAGGACTGCTCCATAGCATTAGCTGAGCACTTGTTGTAAAGCCATCAGGCTACTCAGCTCAGGACTAGGATGTAGCAGGCAGCCATCTACCTAGCTGCACCTTGTTACTTATGGTCAACATTTACTCTGAGTGGGTGCTGGATTTTTGAAGTTATCATTCTTGGCTGGATGTTTTTGTATAAAATAATTGCCTTAATCTCACAAAACTTCTGGAAAGAAGATTTAATTATCTCCATTTTTTAGTTGAGCAAATTAATACTCAAGTTGGTTAGAAAGGTCACCCAGCTGTAAGTAGCCAAGCTGGGATGTTAGCCTCAGCTCTGTCCACATTTTCTTCATTCCATAGAGTTGCTTCTGTCTTAGAAGTGACTTGAATTGCTTAGAGTTAGGGAGTATTTCTTCTTTTATATCTATCCGATGAGAACCTGATAAGGAGGAAGTCAGGGGCCTGGACTCATCTTTCAGGACAGAAGATAACTTTGCCACCCTTCATCATCCCTGCCACCAGGTCTTCTAGGGATGGAGAAAAAACTGATAGGATGAAGAAGCAGGAAGAAAACAAGAATCTGCTCCTTCTAGTCCAGAAGCTTTGATGCTGCAGTGAGACACTCCCACATTCTGTAGGTGACTGGCAAGGGCAAACATACAGGGAGGGGACTGGCTGCTGGAATGCCAACCTGGATGATGAGCCAGGAAGATGCCAACCAGCTGTCTCATGGTGTAAGCCAGACCCAGAACCCTTTATATAAAGACAGCCCTCTGTCCAGATGCCACAGCCTGGATGTCTGCTTGCTGTGAGGAGGGTGAGTCTAGGGGTTGGGCTCTGGGACTGGGGTAGGGATGCCTCTCAAGGGATGCCCGGACTCAAAGGGGTAAGGCATAGTGAGGTGGGGGGGCAGGAAGCTGTGAGCAGAAAAACTGTGGTACATAAACCTGAGGAGACTTTTAGAGGACATAAGAAGAATATCTGTGGAGTTTGTGTGAAGAGCTGAGAGTCTGAAGCCTTTGATAACATTGGCCTCCTCCTCAGGTACGATTTTCCTGCATCAGGACCTCTCTCCCTGGAAAAGATGCATTAGTAGTTTATACTTTGTGAGCAGAGTTGCGTGTGTAGGAGGGTTACCTTCCCCAAGGCATGTGTATTTATGTTTTGTAATGTTTATTTATTTTTGGGAGAGAGACAGAAGACAAGTGGTGGAGGAGGCGAGAGAGAGGGAGGCACAGAATCTGAAGCAGGCTCCAGGCTCTGAGCTATCAGCACAGAGCTCGACGTGAAAAGCATGTGTATCTAGATATTCTCTATACGTGGTGAGGGGAAGCCTTTGCCTTTCATTAGAAACATTTTCAGTATTTCTGCAGCTTATTGAGAAGTGTTTGTTGAATGGGTTAATTGTCAAATCAGCCACCCTGCTGTGCTGGTCACTGGGTTGCCTGTACAAACAGGTGAATTTGGGGAGGGCCTAGGAATGGAGACTGTCCTCTGTTTCTCCCTGGCTAAGTGTGGTGTTAGAGAGTATGCCTGCATTCCCAAGTCATGTTCGTTATGCTCTGCTGTGGAGGGGTTTATGTGTGGCTGAATGTGTGATTAAGGAATCTTGCACTTTCTGGGTTTCCCCATCTTAGGCAGTTGCTCCCTGCTTTTAAGAGGGACCAGGGAGAACCCATTTCTGACACCAGCAGACTGTCCCATTTCAGGCGATTTACAAAGACTACCAGCCTGGGCAAGTTGCCATGTTGGTTCTGAGCCTTTCCAAGACTTGTATGGTGTGTGTGTGTGTGTGTGTGTGTGTATGCATATGTCCATGAGGGTCATTTAAACACATTCACCTAAAAGGATTGAATGTAGAGAAACAAACATTTTATGTTGGGTTTGAGCTGCCCAATAACTGACTGGATCCTTTACTTTCCTGTGGATGCTTAGAGCACAGATGGTACCTGAGGGCTTGCTCCCATATGCTCACTTTTCACGTTTGTACATGTGTGTATTGCCAGTGCATATATGTGAGGATATTCAAGCTCCCGTGGGTGTGGAGCCTCCACGCTGGGCAACAGCTTTGGAAGCACAGTGTTATTTCTACCTCCGATAGAGAGCTCTCCTGCCACCTAGGACACAGAATCCTGTGGTCTTCAACGCCTTCTTGTGTTGGACACTGGTATGCCCACCCTCCAGGGGGAGACCCTGGATGCCTGCAACCCTGGCTGTGCCTTCGAAGCTCCCTCACATCAAGACCTCAGCTAGGTCCTTTGGTAGATCCTAGGCAGGTCTCATGGGCATCGGTAACTAATATTGAGTCCATCTCAGAAGTGTTCTTGGGTAAAAGTTGAGAGTTGGAGAAGAAAGGACAGGGAAGAAGCAGGGTGTCTTCCCTTTGGTCCTGACCCTTCTTCCCAACAACTCACCCTCCTGACACTGGTCTTTCTCCCTTCAGGTCCCATCACCCGCCTGCTTCAGAACCATGTGTGACCAGCAGCAGATTCAGTGTTGCATGCCACTCCCCCAGTGCTGTGTGCAGGGTTCATCCTTCTATCCCTCCCAGGCTCCCAGTGCCGGGAGCCAGGTTGTGGTCCAAGCACCTTGTGAGATGCAAATTGTGGAGTGTCCCGCACCATGCCCAGTTCAAGTTTCCCAAGTAAAATGCCAGGCTCCATGCCAATCCCAGACCACACAGGTGAAGGGGCAGGCTCCAAGCCAGTCTAAGACTACCCAAGTGAAGGGCCAGGCTCCAAGCCAGTCTAAGACCACCCAAGTGAAGGGCCAGGCTTCCAGCCAGTCTCAGGTTTCCTGCATTCAATGCCAGGCTCCATGCCAGCCTCAGGTTTCCTATGTGCAGTATGAAGCCCCATGCCCTGTTCAGACCTGCTATACGGAATGTGCTCCAGTTTATTATACAGAAACTTGTTATGTGGAATACCCAGTCCAGACCTACGTACCCTGTCCAGCTCCTCAGCCTGTTCAGACTTACGTGGCTTGTCCCCCAGTTGCCCAGACTCAGGGAAGATTCTCCACCCAGTGCCAGTATCAGGGCTCTTACAGCGGATACTCCCCGCAGCCTCAGCCCCAGGCCTCCTACAGCACCTGCGCCCCGCAGTTCCGATCTGGGGCTTCCTACGGCAGGTGCGCCCCCCAGCGTCAGTCCCGGGCTGAGTTTAGCACTTGCGCACCGCAGTGCCAGGCCAGAGGCTCTTATGGGAGCTTCACCGCCCAGCGTCGCTCGCAGAGTACCAGCAGGTGCGTCCCTCCTCGCCAGCTGCAGCCTGCCTACCGCAGCTGCTCCCCACCACGACGCTCTGAGCCCTACGACCGCGGCTGCCTGCCATCGGCGTGCTCCTCGGGCGCCTATAACTACTGCACCCCGCCTCGCCGCTCGGAGCCCATCTATAGCAGTGGCTGTCCCCGGGGTCGCCCTTCAGGCTGCTCTCAGAGATGTGGTCCCAAGTGCCGGATAGAGATTTCCTCCCCCTGCTGCCCCAAGCAGGTCCCCCCGCAAAAGTGTCCTGTCCAGATTCCTCCCATCAGACGCTGCCCTGAGACTTGTGCCCCACGACCCTCCTGGGGCGCCTCCTGCCCTGAGCTGAGGTCCCGTGCAGAGTCACGTCCGCTCCCAAGCTTCTGTCCTCCGCGGCGTCTGGACCAGAGTCCAGAGCCACCGCTGCACCGGTGCCCGCTTCCTGCCCCCCGTCCATGCCCACGTCCTGCCCCACGGCCATGCCCACGCCCAGAGCCACGCGCGAGGTCAGAGCCTCGTCCGTGTCCTCCACGGCGGCGACTTTCGGAACCCTGTCTGTGTCCAGAACCACGCCCAGCCCCGCGACCTCGCCCAATGCCGCGTGAAATTCCCGAGCCGCGTCGGTGTGCCCCGCCCTGCGAGCACCCAGACCCTTGTTCACTTCCAGAGCTGGTTCCCCTGAGAGCGCCTTGCCCAAGCCCGGAGCCCTGTGTGGAGCCGCGGCGCGGGCCCATCCCGTGCCCAGGCCCAGAGCCCATCCCGTGTACGGGAGACCTGGGCTGCCGTGAGTCCAGTCCGTGCCGCCTGGACACTGAGGCCCCAAGCTGTGGCCCAGCTGCTTATAACCAGTGGCAAGGATGTGGTGACTGCCGTGGGCCCTGGGACACGATTCCAGAGCCACAGGGTGTCAGTGATTGTGGAGACCAAGGAGGTGCCTGTGTTGGAGTAAAAGGAGGTCCTTCTGCTGGAGCAAAGGGTGCTTATTTTTAAAGAAGCATGGCTGAGACCTCCCTGAAAACGTCATGCCTCAATTTCCAGCATGTTCCTGTGTGCATCTCTCCAAAGGCAGTTGGCTCTCTGCAGCCGAAGTGATGTCGGAACCCCACTGCCTGCCATCTCAGAATCCACACCTGGGTCCCAGGCACCTTTCCAGCCTCACATCTGGCTCCTCCCCTCTACCACCCTCAGTTCTAGCCAGACCAGTCTGACCACCAGGGCACATCTGGGTGTTCCCCAGAACACACCTTAGGTGCTCCTGCCTTCAAGCCTCTGCTCACCTTCCACCCCCAAGGGGACCCCTTCTCTGCTATGCCCAGCCTTTGAGATCCAGCCCATCTTTCAAGACCTTTTCTTTGGAGTCTTTTCGGCTTTTTCCTACTCACGGTAACCTGCTCTGACTTCCTAGAACTTATTGCATTGTCCACAGCAACCATTTGGCAACTTCCCTGCAACATCTCTTGAATTATTTAGCTTTTCGGGAGGTGGGGAGAGGGAGTGTCTGTTTTCTCTGCCCAACTAGGTTGTAAACTCCCACTTAAGTGGAGTGAGAATATCCCTAAAGTCCCATGCTCCTCCTTCGGCAAGCAGCTGCTCAGCAACGTGTGTGTGTCGACAGCCTGAGCCATGATCTATCCTGATAGGCAACCCCAGGATCGGGGACAGAGGAGGCCGTGTGACAATAAAGATGATATTCCCATAGCCTGAGTCCTGCATAATGACTGTTTTTTACACCTTCCTGACTCTATGGGATGAACTTCTTTATTATTCTTTTTCTTCAGTTTATGGTCCTTGTGGTCTGAGCTGTCCTTAACCAGGTGGGCTGCCTTGTGGGCTTTCTGTCTCCTTTCAGGTCTCTGGAGTCTGGTAGGAGGAATGGGGGAACAAGAAGAATAACTCTTGCTCCTCAATCTGGGGTCAAGGTCTCAGGTCAGGGTTGGACAGGTCACCCAGCTGTGGGGCCGTAGTGATGTCTGTGGAGTTGGCAGGGAGGGAGGAGCTTGGGGAGAACTGGGGGACCTCTGTGATGTTGCACACAGGATATACTCTTCTTTCATTCAGGACTATTTGTACTTTTCTCTTACTTTCTTTTGATTTCTTTCTTTCTTTTCTTTTCTTTTCTTTTCTTTCTTTCTTTCTTTCTTTCTTTCTTTCTTTCTTTCTTTCTTTCTTTCTTTCTTTCTTTCTTTCTTTTTTCTCTTTCTTTCAGACATCGTAGAAAAGGTAGCATCTAAGGCTGCCTCTGCATTCCTCCCCTGCTCTTGAATGTCACTGGGCATGGTGGTCTTGACAACATGAAGGTGAGGCCTGGAGGGGCAAGAGAGAGAGGGTGCCTCTTTCTCCCACTCGCTGCCTATGAGATTGTGGTAGAGTCCCCTCCCTAAGGAATGTGGTGAGAAAAGACCTCAAGATACAGGAAGGCAACCTGGTTATGTGCCTTAGTGACATCCCTCACAACTGTGTAACATGAGACCCCCTAATGAGACTGTATGCCTGTGGGAGCCACACTAGCCTCGCTGGATGACAGTCACAGCGAGGAAATGGCAGTGTTTGTACAGCTCCTGCCATAAGAAACGAAAAGTGGGATCTCTTTCTGCTACTACTGGCTCATGTTGGAAATAAGCCTGTGGGTATTGACCAGGCCTCACAATATTCCAAATCAGACCAATATTCTGCACACAGACACCTCCTAAGGAAGAGCATATTCCTGCCTTTTCAAAAGAGATTTCAGATGAAAGCATTGTGGATGATTGTCAAAAGGCTCTTCCTATGGGCCTTGCAGATCCAAGACTTAGATAACAAAGGGGGTTAAGAACACAGGAGTTACAACTGAGCCTGGCCCCGAGGCAAAGAGCCTAATTTAGAGTTAAGGAACAGATAAGGGCAGAACTTAAGTTAATACTTACACTTTTTCTAACTGGTGATGTATGGCAGTCCCTTCCCTAAGGCCTACTTTCCACAAACACCCTCCCTTACACTGGTGGCTGGGATGAGGATAGATAAGAGTAGCTAACACATAATCCAAAAACAAAGGCTGACACATTTAGGGCCTCCATGGTGTTTACACATTCAGCATCAAGTCAAAAAAGTTTTCACAAACAACTTATTAACCAGCTCAAAAATATCTGTTGTGAGCCAGACAAAATGAAATCTAGCCTATCTATATACAACTTAACCTAATGTTAAGTATGGACATTAGGACTAATGTATGTCCTAATCCTAGCATTATTAAACGTAGAACAAATATGTATGTCATCCTGTTTTTCACTAAGAACAACCTGTTATTTCCCTAGTTGTAAGATTTACTCAGCCTCACCATGATTGGGGTAATTCTGCAAGAATACTTCTGAAAAACCTCTTCTTGTACACTTTTCAAAGCATCTTATCACAAAGAACTATCCATTGTAAAAATTCCATTTTCTGATGCCATGTTAACATTTGACCTATAAATAAAGACACCAAAACCGACAGGACAGAGACGCCTGCCTGGTGATCAGAAAGAATCTCGGGGCTCTCTCACTCTCTCTCTCGCCGACACCGTCCATCCTTCAGGGACCCCTGGACCTGCTGGAGCCGGCCTCTGGCATATGCCTGTACGTTACCCATATATGGGAGACAAAGAATTAGAAAATGCATAAAAGACTATGCCACACGGCATTTGGGCTCAGTTTTTTGGGTAAGAACCCAACTGAGTCAGTGCTGGCACCAATAAAGTTGCTTCCTGGAAAGAAAGCCTCGGTGTCACAACTCTCTGTGTGAGAAACCTGCTACAAGATGGGTGCTGTGGAGTGAGTGCTTTTGAGGGGAGCCTTTCCCCAAGGGGAGACAGTGCCCTGAGGACACCAATGCCTATAGAGGATAAAGGGGCTCCTCAGAAAAAGACACCAGGGGGCGACTCTGGCCTGACACTCAGCTCCATCTCCACAGTCAGGCACCCCAGGTCTAGGGCCTGGCTCTGAGGACATCTTTCCCTCGCCCCAGGGATCTGGTCCTGCACCATCAGAGTGGAGACTGAAGAGACACCTGGCAAAGGAAAACTAAGGTTCTTTGTGTGAAGTCCATTCACTCATTCATTTTTTTTTTTTTTTTTTGGCAAACTCCTTGCTTACGTGCCAGGTAGTCACTGGCCAAAGGGACAGAGATAACCCTTGTTTGCTCTCAGAGAGCTTACAGCCTAGAGCATAGGTTCTTAGTGTAATACTTGGACCAGCAGCATCAGCACCACCTAGGACCTTGTGATAAATGCAAATGCATCGCCCCAGACTTACTGAAGCAGCGACTCTGGGTGAGGAAAGCTGGGTTTTAGCCAGCCCTCCACATGTTTCTGATGCCTAGTAATGTTTGGTTGTTACTAGTTTAGTGCAATATCCTATGCAGGTAGAATATGAATATATATATATATATCATATATATATATGATATATATACATATATAATATATCTCCTCTGATGTTCATAATAGCCCATCACACAGACATTATTATCTTGTCATTTTGCTGAGCTGGAAACCGAAGCACACAGGCCAAAGTCACACAGCCGGACTCAATTCTAAGCCGACCTTCTTGTCTACTGCTACACACGGCACCTTTCCTCTTAGTCACAACCCCTGCCTCTTCCAGAGTTCTTTCCTGTATCAACTCAGTCATTTTTCCAGCACATTTTTGGAATGATCTCATTTATTGGACAGTTTCTTTTCACCAGGTGTAACTTTGCCTCTTCTCTTCAAACCCAGGCTGCTCTAGGACCAAATCTGCTCTGTGGCTTAGGCCCCAGGGGCCCAGAAAGGGCCAAATGGCTCCCACAAGGCACCCCTATTTTTCTATCACCCAGGCCCCTGGGGGGGGGATGGGGAAAGTCTTGAAAGACTCAGGTGAGGATTCTCATGACATGTCTCCCCCTGTTCTCTCCAGCACACCCTGAACAAGGAGCCTCCTGTCTGGAAGATAAGTGGGGATCAGTTCACCCCCTCAAGATACAAAAGAAACACAGACCTGGCTGGGAGAAAAGGGCATTCACTACTAGGAAACCCCATCATCCTTAGGCTCAAGGCACAAGTCAACACACAGGCTTTTTGTTGCAGCGACCCATTACCTGGACTGTCCTCTGAGGATCGACTCTGCTCCCCAGGATAACTAGCCTGGATGTGGAAGGAGATTAGTGATGGTAGTATAGAGAGGTCTTTGGGTGAGTCAGGCTGGGCCTGGGGCTCTCTCACAGACCAGGACTGTGCAAGAGCCAGTCTCAGTGCCATCTCTGTAGCCAGAGGAGCTCAGAGCCCAACACTCCTCTCTCCTGGGGCACTGGTCTGAAATTGTGTCCTCCACCTCTCAAGCCCAGGCTTGAGCCTCCAGGTAGGCCACCTATGAAAAGTTACCTCTATGGCAGCGATGAGGACAGGGATGCTCTGGAGTGTGTGTCTGCACGTTCTTTCGTGGGCTTGTATTTAATTTGTGTGTCTATGGGTCTGCTGCTATATGTCTGTGTGTTTTAAAGCTTGGGCTTCCAAACTGTATGTGGCAATGGGGACTGCAACCCCCGGAGTGTGGTTTAAGATATCCTATGGCCCTTCAACCTTGGCTTTGGATGACCTTTCCAGTCATCCTTTCCACTCCCTACCCTCCACCCTTTCACAGATGACTTACCTCCCAGTTCTCTGCCTTTTCCTTTTATATTAACCGTTTGAACAAAAGTTAAAGGGCTGAGGACTGGGATTTCAGAGCAAAAATACTGTTTATAAAAGCCTTTTAAAGGTGCTCAAAGGCTTGTGAAAGAATCTCTTTCTTGGATATCACACTACCAATCTGAGACAGTACACAGAACAGTATGAAGCAGAGGTCGGCCAGACTCCTTGACATCCAGTAACAGGACCTGGTTTCCAGAGATGAGGGGCTAGTTAGTTTGACTGAATGTAAGATAGATTGGGTCTAAAGACCATGCCTTCCACCCTGGAATCCTGCTTATATCTGTCTGCAATTCTCTATCCTTTTCTTTTT